TGGACAGTGAAACCAGCTGAGTCCTCCTGTGTGAGTGTATGGATAGGCACACATGTGGGCCAGAGACACCAGCTCCAACCACTCTTATCTCAGCTTTCACCACATCCATACTTGCTGAGAAGTTCCTTCTCCCATTCTCTCCGCTGCAATCTTTGTTAGCAGGGTCAGCAGACAGGAGCCACATAAACAGGCCAGAGAGCAAATTCTTGTTCTCACCCCTGAGGATATCTGAGATACAATGGCAAAGCTTAATGTGTGTGAAGCTTATTTGGCCACGACTCTGGTATAACCAGCTAGGCAAATAAAAAGCTCCAGGATGTTACTCCAACTCATCTCAGAAGGAAATAAGTGAATTAGAAACATATTTTAAAATAGATTTTGCATTTCCAGGACAACATTGGCAAGCTTGTTCTCAAATTCAACAACATGTGTGCCCCGAGTGCGGTAAGAATTCAATTGCCAAGGTGCTGCTTTAAGGTCTTCAACCTTTTAGATCTGACCACCTCTTCTCTCAATAGCAGTCAGAGCTCTCTCATAAATCTTTGCATAAACTTGCATACACACTTCTTGTAGCATACAGTCATATTTTCTAGCTGTAACAGCTGGGCTACATTAGAATAGTAGTCCTCAGAAAGGTAAAAGTTGTTCTCTACTCTTTGTTGCATCAGCAAGGAAACCAGCTTTAAATTAGACTTCCAAATACCCCAGTTTACACAAGATGACTGCTCCTACTACCCTGAGGAAAAAAAGTACTTTTGTTCTTTCTTCAAACTTCCATATCCTGAAGCAGCACATTCAATCCTAAATGGCATGACTACATTTAATTACCCATCAAATTTTTCTGGGAAGTAACATCTTTTCAGCAGTAAAAATGTTCGGGGTCCATATTGTCTCTACAGCTACATCAGGTTGTCCAAAAGGATAAAGGCCACCCCATGCATGGCTCTGGGCTTCCAGCCTTGACCAGCTCTATAAAGCAGTTCCGGTCATCTACCTACACAACGTTCCCCTCAGAGAACTCTTTCCTATCCTCCACCCAGCCATATTTCTGAGGGGAAAGGGAGGACAGGAGAAGATATCAAAGGTAGGCAAAGGTTTCCAACTGTTTGGCATGAGATCAGGTCCCGCACTGACACTGATTCAGTGGGGGAACTGGTTGTTAGCAGAATACTCAGACATGGTCCTATCATTCCCCAGAAGGAATTTCCAAATGTGATGCTTTTATCTTAATCCATAACCCCTCCCAGGTCAAAGAAACATAGCCATATGTTTTTAAAGGAAACTGTTTTATCTCTGTCCACAAACCTCTTCAAAGTACAAACACTTTGCTCTCTGGTCCAAAAGCAAAATGATGGCTAGTTCAATTCAGAGAACCTTTTCCAAAGAATTAGGTCCAAAGCAAACCATAAAACCCTCTTGGTCCACAGGAAAAGCCTGGACACAAACTGATAAAAGGGCCAACTCCTTTTCAGCTTAGCTGTATCTGCTTCCAACAGCTGTCCTCCTTATGCCAAAGGGCATCTCAGAAAGTACCTCAGAAAGAATAATGGATGAATTATTCAAACACAGACTAATTCCTGGTGCTTGGACTCTTTGTTCACTCTATGATCAGTGCAAGATGTGTGCCTTCAGAAGGGCTCACACTGCCTTCAGTAAAGGGCAAATACACAGCCTTTGATTTGGAGAAGAGGAAATCAATTTAGCAGCTAATAAATATGCAATTTGTGCAACATACATACTCTTTGTCTCCCTTGATGCTCGTACAAAAGTTACTGTGTCCTACCCTGCTAAGCAAAAAGTTATTGCATACGTTCGTGTGAACTGCAATTTAGCTTCTTTCAAAGCAGAACTGGGAAGAAGACAGGGAGTAGATGCTTGGCAACATCATGTTATATTTCCTCACAAACAATAATAGCAGAGTTTCCTCCACTGAGGGCCAAAGTTGAGAAAGTCACAGTCACATATTTTGGAAGATGCTCTGCAGCATCACACATCTGTCCCGACACATCCAGGCCAACAATATGCATGTCTTGTGTAGGGTCTATGCAAGCATGGAGGCAGGCATTCAATGGGCTGCACAGAGAGAGTTCTACAAGGACCTTTACTTACTGATAGTCTGGCCTTTTTTCAAAAATTCACAAACTCTGTGCACAGAAACTCAAATAATTCTAGGATATCTGATAAAAGTCATACTTGTACCTCCAACTTAACCGTAAGGAGGCATAAACACATCACAGCTACACTAATAAAAGAACTGACATTGAAGCAACAAAATCTTCTAAGTAGAGGTCACAACTCTACCAACATAAGCATACTACAGAAATCTTTCAAGTCCAAAGTCTCCCCCCAACACCATAAGAGGGCCCAGATGAAGGGAAGACTCATAACTTTCCAGGCGTCCACAAGATACAGCTTAAGCTAACTTAAAATAAAGCAAAGTGAAAAGTTTAAAACTTAAGTCAGTATTCTGAACAGGCTGCATACCTGTTTCCAGAATTCAGATGCTCAGGGTGACCTGAGCTTTACTGCTTGATCAAATAGTGAAGCTGAGCAGTTTTTCCATTTTTCCTCCTTTACTGTCACTTCCAAACGCAGTTGGCTGACCAAGTTTATTTGTCTTGTATCTACTCGGGGTTAAAATGGATCCCTGCTATGCTCTGGGTATACAAAGTTTACAATAATAAAACATATGAAATAATTCAAATCTCACCTCACTGCCAATCTCCCTCCACTCCACCCTTTTTTTCACCTTCAAGAGGTTTCTTGGGGGGAAAAAAAAATCCAGTAAGGCATAGTAAGTGAGAGGTTAAAAGTTGGAGATTAAAGGAAGGTATGAAGTTATTTAGGTACAATATTGCCCTCTTCTAATTCATAAGGTTATTGTAACCCAGAGTGCTGATTTCTTAATCTGTAGTCATTCACAGATTGCCAGTACAGTTCAACTGTGGCAATTTGTTTGCTCCCTCAAAAAAACAAAACAAAAGAAAACACCACAGAAAAATAGCAGCCAGAACAACTAATTGAACCTACCACCCATCCTGTCCACTCCAAAGATGCACCTGGGAAAGAAAATAGCTAGAGAGGCCACATGAATTATTTTGGCAGTGGGGCAGCTGGGCAGCAGACGGTGGCTCATTTGCGAGTCAGAAGCATCAGCTTGTCTTGCAGATGGCTGGGCAAGCACCACAGCACACTTCTACCCTCTCAGCAAAGCCAGTTGTGAGGTCTGTCTGGCCTGAGAAGTTGCTGTAGTGTCAGCATCCAGCGCAAGCTCTTGAGGGGGTCTGTTTCCAGATGTGAACTAAATCTCGCTTAGATTAGTCTAGCAGGAACAGGATTTAGGATAAGTATATGCCCAGTGTTTTTGTGTACAGGTACGGTTTGACAACCGAGGCAGCCAAGCCAATCTAAAGCTAGCAGGCTACCTCTGAAAAAGTGGTTTTCCTCCTCCTTGTCACCTCGAGCAGCCCATTTGTGCCTGCTCCCTCTTACCAGTGCTGGAGCTCATCAAAGCCTGCAGCAGAGCAAGCTTCCAGTTTGGGAAGTTCTGCCACTTTGGACGAGCAACATGGCCTGGACAAGGAAGAAGGCAGAAACACGCAACCATGGGCAGGACAAAGACACACAAAGACACAGCAACTACCTATTGGATCAGCGTAGTAGTATCAGACAGCACCAGGCATGGATGATTCATCTGCACTGGTGCGTCACCAACAGGAGTGGCATTGTCCCACTTCCAGCCCTGACCATTTGTTCTGGTGTCTTCCTTGTGCTGGCAGTAGCATTTGTGCAGCAAGCTGCAGCAGGGAGCTGAGCCAGCTACCAACTAACTTACTTTAATCAACTTCACTTTCAGCTAGAACAGTTTTCTGATCCAGCTCGCTGCCCTGCCTAGAGGGATAGCAGGGAAGGCAGAAACAAGCAGACTGGGGAGCCTGGTTGGTGGGTAAAAGGAGTCAGGGAGCAAATGGGTCTACTCATTCAGGGGCAGGGCAGACTTATGAGAGATTAAAGTGATCATGCAACCTGTGGTGCTTTTTCTATAAAAGCAAGCCCTTATGTTAAGTAGTTGCTGGTTACAGTCACTTTCTGTTTAAATCCAACGAAGACATACCTGAAGTGAACTCAGATGGTCACAACCTCCAGGGCTGAGGCTGAGAGACAGGCAAGTTATTGAAATAACCAGGATCTCACTCACATAAGGCTGTCTATATTAAAGGTATAACCTTACTAACACTTGCAGTCAATATGACGCTCATAACATGGGAATCTTGCGCTTCCCATGCATATCCCTCTGCAAGGGATATGCAGAGGCTGCCACATGTCATGCCACCTGCAGTGTTAGTTTATAAAACAAGTTCACCTAGCCAAAAAAAAAAAAAAAATCAATACGAGAGTAATAACAGAGCAAACTTTTCCAACAACTCAGCAACGGTATAAGGAGGTGGAGCAGGGGCTACGAAGCATGCCAGAGGCATAGCAAAAATTACTTTGTCTTGTTTATACCTCCAGAAGAACACTGAGGAAAAACAAAGAGGTTTTCAAAGCTGCACAAACCTTCCTGCAACCCTGTCCCAGAAGAATGCAATCAAGTGCACCCTCCTTGCAATTTCATGCTTTGTGAGCAACTACTTAATCCCTAGGCACCTTCAAATTAAGTTAGAGCACATTCTTTCTTATAGATTTTGATAATTAATCATTTTGGCCTTTGAAGAATCACCCTAAAAATCTGAGTTAGTTGCCTATTGAAGAGGGTGAGACTCAGAGCAATTTTTTTTCAAGCGCCCTGCAAACAGATGTGCCAACATCACTGAAGAGTAGCATGTATATACGGATGGATAACTAACATGCATTAGCTATTCCACTGTCAAAGCCTAGAAGAGACGTTATTCAAGTTTAACTATGAGTTGAACTGAAGCAACAGAGGCAACGTGTCTCTCACTAGGGATTTACCAGGAGTTAACTACCACATATTAATTAAACCAGGTTCAGCAACACACCTTTTTAAAAGGAAGAGAGTTTTCATGGCTCAGCAGGCATTGCACTGTCAGTTACCCACTGTTCACAAGTCTCTTCTGCAACCAGACAAGCCTGCAATATTAAAAAGAAATCTGAGGATCTAGAAGACAAATAGAGACCCTCTGCAGGGAACAACAAAGGACTAGAATAATATGGTGTAGGATCTACCTACTGAAAATATAGTTGCCAGGCAAACAGACCAACATAAGTAACCGTATAGGAAGATTTCTGAAGGAGGGCTACCTGGCTAGCAACGACATGGCCAGAACCAATAACAGAAAGCAGAAAGTGCCCAAAACGAAACAGAAATACACTTAATAATGCAGTAACTACTGGAACAACTCACTTAAGGAAGCAGAAGATACTCCCACATAGGCATCTTTACAAGAATTGGGTTTCTCTTTGTAAAAGAGATGCTATGACCCAATCACAAATGATCAGGCTCAACACAAGAATTACTGAAACATTTGTTCATTTTTCCTAAGTAGGAGGCCAGATTGGACGACTATAACAATCCTTCCTGACCATAACATCTTTAGGTGTGGGAAAAACCCACACCCAAAGAGTTTAGGTGACAATCCCAGAACCATGACAAAAAGGTTCAACTGACAAAATCAGCTTAGTTTTCTTTGTAATTTGTTGCAGCACAGTAACTACCACCTCCCTGAAACGGATGCTGTATTCTCAGTATGCTGGTGGAAGTACAACAAAAATTCACATATCTAAGGAGGCATTTATCTTTAGTGAATAGTGTAGTGCATTTTAAGTAAGGAATGTGAGATCTGGAAACGTAATCAACATCTTTTGAAAGCTGGTCAAGATTAGTACACTCAAAACTTAGAGAGGATGCTAGAAGTATAACATTCATTCTGAGATTTGTTTGCACCTTCTTTATAAGCATCACTTCAGTGAAACTCAGATGGACATCTGCTGCTGGTTCCTGCTCTGCTGGACAGAGCAGTACACAAATACGCTGAGTAGGGTTTTTTCCTCTCACGTAGCGGGCTGGTTTTGGGGTTTTTTCCCCTCTCTCTAGCCTCCACAAGCTACAGTAGCTACTCTCCCCACTGGAGTATAGGCCTCCATTTTTCTTCTAACTCACAAAGTTTTATCAAACCTAAGTCCAACAGAAGATGTTGGACTTCAAAAGCAGCAATGATGTCCCAATTAGAAGATATAAGCAAGATGTTTATATTTGTTTGAAGCACAGGGAACTTGATAATGGTTACACAAGACTTCCACTTAAAGCAGTCACATCCCATAATTAATGCTTCATTCTATACACCAGAGACTATGAATAAGTTTAATTTTGGTGACCCCTTTTCAATAAGCTCAAGTCTGGGAAGTACACAATCTCTTTTGTTGCTTCCTCACGCGCACACTCATCTTTCCTCCACAGGATGGTCGTCGTTTTGACAAGCAACAGTGTGATTTTCAGTCCTGTCGACTCAATCAAGTCAGCATAAAATAACTGAAAAAAAACCTCCTAGCCCCTGATTAGACTAACTAGCATTTCCCCTACCCCATTCTTTGCTAGGAAAACAGATGTATTAGGATTGTTAATTGATTACAAGTAAATCAAAATGTAAAGCTGAAGTGCAAAACTATATAATATGATACTGCATGCACAAGTGTAAACCAAGACACAAACACACATAAAGCAGACCTGGTCAGCTATATCCTGGCAGAACTATTGCATATGAATAAACTGGCAGGTACAAATTAACTGAAATACGTTGATTTGCTCACCCCACAAGTATCATTATCTTCCATAAGAAATGCAAACACTTCCAAGATGACACACACACATCAATCTAACAAATCTACAAATGTCATTTTGCAACAGCTGTGCACATTAACACATACTAGTTTTATAATTCCACGGTGGGCAAGAGTAATTGCAGTCAACATCAGATTTTATTCAATTAGTTCCCACATGCTAAAGACATAACTCACTTTGCCTACATTAGAATAAGAATAGATGATTAATATGCATTTAAAAATAACATGCATTTTACCTACTGAGTACAAACATTAATTCTCCCCTCCTCCCTTCTCCTCTTAATCTTGTTCTTTTCTATCTTCCTTTTTTTCTTATCTCAATTATATGTTTCATTTTCCCTGGCTATTCAAACACTGCTTCATACTTAATCTGTTCACTTACTGCTCTATGTGCCTCACAACCTCTCCACATCCTGACAGTCTGTCTTCTTGTTCCTCAAATTCTGTTCTCTGAGCTTCCCTAAGCAAACTTGTGTTCGCTGGGATTCGATCTTCTTCCCTTCTCCAGACGTTATGCCTTTCAGCTCACAGACAAAAGTCCATCCTCTAGCCTTCTGGCCTTTCATCCGCCTGCTGCACCCTACAGACACTCAACTCTAAAGGCATCTTTCTCTCACTTTTGTTGGGCTAGCATAAATAGTTGCTCTGCCCTCAAACTTGCAAGCAGCCCACTCATTATTGGTGCAGTTTCTACTTCAGGATTTGAAGCAGCGCCCACATTGCATCTCCACAGGTGCAACATCTCAGCACAGAGACATCAGTGTCTCTTGTTGTCTCCTTCCTCCCATTGAGGACCTCCTCCAGGAGCACTGTTAGTGGGGAGAACAGCCCATTCCCTGCACTCACAAAGGGAGCAGCAGAAAGAGAAGGAGGATGCAGAAGTGACAGTGCGTCTTGGTAAATTCCTGTACCAAGGAGTGTGCTAGTCACAGTCATGTCCGCAACTGGTTTCACTAACACTCTGCTTTTTACAGCACTGTCTGAACTAACTGTGATTATCCCCAAAGCATCCTAATTTTCCTAAAGACACAGTACAAGTAACACACAGGCAGCAAATCCATCAAGTCTGTAATCCGTTGAACGTGAATGATACTTAACCTGTCTAAAAGCCTCCTGCAAGCTCCTTGTCAGCCAGGTAAAGAAAAGTACAAAGCAGAACCTCCTACTACTTAGGCAGAAACATTATCTACCAACTCCAGCACTTCATGTGGTGTTCTGAACGGCATCCAAGGGCAAAAGTGGACTCAAACTAGTCACTTAGTGCACTCAGACAAATACCCCTCTGCCCTTTTCCTGCTACTCTTCCACATCAGGTTCCTTGCTTCATATCCACATAGAAGTCTGTCTAACCAAACACCACGCTTCTTTGATTTTCACTGAAACCAAAAAGATGATGGCTGGAGTAGGGGCAAGGGGGTAGAGATGGAAAAGGCCTGGATGGGTGTGTAGACAGGATGATAAATGAGAATCTCAATTTCCAGTGAATACATTAGGAATTCCCAGCCCACCTAACATGTCTGATCCATTCCTGTACATCTGAAAAGACATATACGATATATATGTTTTGATTTTGAAAGAAATCAGCATATATCAAACAACAAGTATTTTTAAATGTCCCAGTTATCCTCCAAGGTATATTGAGCACAGAATCCGATTCCACAATAGCTGGTTACAAGCATTTCTTAACTTTCGCTTTGCTCTGGAGGTAATAAGGACTGATTCCACACGTTGCAATTAGAGCTAAAATTCTTCCTCTGTCTTTGAATTAACGAAATTTCTAAATTTCATACAGTAATTCTTCAAAGGATAATTTTCTACATAACATCAGCAGTAAAGACTACTACTAATTTTGGCAGTGAGAGAAATATAAAATTGCTCCAATTATAGTTTGGGTTTTTTTTTAAATCACTTTCCAAGTTGCATATCCTAGTTCCCTCAGAATCTCAGTTTTCTCCACAAAATATCTAGGGCATAAAACATGTAAGACTGTTCCTGCATTTTTAACATCACACACAATAAGAGGGGCAACAATTTTTCACACCAACAGTCACTAGCATCCAGACAGACTTGAGTTTGTACATGAAAAACAAAAATTGTTCCAAAAATGTTGAAATAGCATCTTTTTCATTACTTAAACTTCCAGTTCTTCTTTGTTTCCCACCTATCAATTGTGCATTGTCACCACTGTCACCTAGACTTGCCAGGGGAACCCTTTCGGAAGGAATGAAGCTCTCAAGTGCAGGGGCACGAAAGGCTAATACAGCTAGCCAGGAGAAGACACAAGAATGAAGCTGGGACACGCAGAATGCTGAGGGTGAAAAGATCTGAAGCAATGCCCTGCCCGACTGCAAGGCTTGAGGGTCTCACTGTACAATAAGCCTAGTGTGAGGACAGTGAAGTTTCTCTTCATTTCAGTAGCGTCATTTGAAGGGGCTCTTGCCTGTGCACAAAGACAGAAACAGTATAGAAGACCTAATTAAAAACAAAATAAACCAGGATGATGACCTGTACAGAGACCCTCTGATGCCCAGGGTCTGCTGCCCCAGCTCCAGACATCAACATGAGGGGCTCATGAAGACTTTTCCCCTGCACTACCACTTCCTGGACTACTCTTTATCCCCAGCCCCTCTTATCCTCTCTTGCAGCAGATACCCATTACAAAACCCTCAGCCCCTGTACCAAAACAGAAAACGCCCAGCAAAAGGCTCTGTCACAGGCCAGCCTTTCCAAGCATGTGTCCTATCAACACAATCATCTATAGAAGTAATCACAGTCTAAGGGAGTGGTTCTGCGGCCACTTTGAGGTTAACATAAGCGTGGGCTGAAGCTAAGGGAGTCGTCCCACCCTCTCCCTCTCTGCAGCCACTCATCCCACTACTGCCTTTGCATCAGCAGTTGCACAAGCTGGGTCAGAGAATGTTTCTGGCTGAAAATTAACTAAAACTGTTTGGCTTTTTCTTTTTTACTACAGTTACTTTTTTCCAGCCTAATGACTTCCCTGATCCACCTCGCCATATAGTTTAAGTTAATTAAGTCAACACTGACACGGCCTACTTTCTTTTCTTCCCACCCAGCAACGCATTCTTGCCACCTTCTTGACAGGAATCAGTGCTCATCCAACCCTATAATAAGCCAACGCTGGGCATCCACACTATAGAACACTTTCCACTTCTTTTCCCTGGCTCATTTTCTGATAGCTTAGCTCACTGAACCAGCTTGCCTGGAATCAGAGTCAGTGAAAGGAAGGA